TCCGTTTTCATAGTAGTCCCATGAGTCCTCTGAAAAGCTGATGCTGGGAATTGCAGGAGCCTGGTAGATAATAAGCCATAATAAAGAACAGGGAACTGCAGTGAGGAGGAGGAATCAGGTCATATCACTCCTTGCTATTCCACTGGCAGAGCTTCTGCGAAGGACCTCTTGGCACAGGAGGGAACTGGGGGGAATGTCATCTGACTTTCCCTCTTTACTGCAGCCCTCAATGCATTTTGTCCACAAGATTCCTGCAACTCTCAGCATCAACTTTTGGGAGATCTTGGGGGCTGCTTATGAAAGATCTGCTATCTGTTCACAGTCTGTAGAATATAAACCAAGGGTTTGTTTTTTTCAGCTGACAGTTTGCATAGTTTGTCCTTTATATATTTATATTATGCTTATCATTTTGCATGCTTGTGATCAGTTTTATTACAATCTTGCATATTCCTGAATCCTTGGCAAAATCCTTGAAAGACTGTGCTAATCAAGTGTATGAACATATGGATATATCTGTAAGCCACCCATGTATGCATGACGAATCTCTCCTCACATGACCCATACAGCGACTGTGCTCCTCACAACAGGGTAGCTTTAGTGTTCTCTAGGAAGCGTACTGCTGTCTGCTACCTTTTCCTGTTGCTCGCCCAGAGCTATGGGATGGCCTCCCTGGAGGGGTGAGGCTCAAGCATCTACCCTTGCAACCTTTTGAAAAGGCTGTAAAAAGAGCTATTCGAGAAAGCTTATGGGGCAGCTTAAAGGTGTGGGAGCCACATTTATATAATGACGTGTTTTAATGATTTTAATAGATATTTTTGTATAAAATCTGTTATTGTTACCTGCCTTGGGAGAAAGTTGGAATATATAAATACCCAATTAGCAGACAGATACTTGTTCCTTGATTCAGTTAATCATTCGCTGGGCCCGAACTAAGGATTTATAATACATTATTTCAAGTTCAAGCCAGTGGTATCTTTGCCTTATTTCATATTTATTTGAGGGACATCCTTACCTCCACAGATATTCCACGGGCACTGGGACCCATGGTAACAGTGCCAATCTTCACCAAGAAATCACAGTACTGGTACCGGGTACCCCGGCTTTCTATTTTGTTCCCTTTGGCATTTTGAAAGAAGCCTTTCAGTTTCACCATCAGGACGTCGAAGTTGGCATCTGCTATGAGGCAGGGGCCATTTTCAAAGAGAGCGAAACAGCTGAGGGGATATTCGGAATTGTGCATCACGTACATCAGCTTGGCAGCCTGCCCTGAAACAAGAGCAGCATTATTTTCGCTGCGAGAAGGATATTCTCCCCCTTATATGCTTTAAAATGAAACATCTGTTACATCTCCCTTTGTCCTGTTTTCCAGACCATGGATTCTATTACAACATCTCTACATTATCCATTAATTTTTGACATTGCAGTGGTTGCTGAGTGGTTTTTAAATGTAAGTAAAGCATAATGAACATTCGTTTCATCAGACCTACTATCCCAAGGTATCTTAACATATTACCCATTCTATAGTATCCTTTAAACAGCAGTGAATTTATTTAACCAATTTTCATTATATACTAAACAACCTTACCTCAAGAGGAGTGAAAAAACCAAGTTCAAGTATTGTCAAAATTGTTCTGTGTTTAGACATCACTGAGATGTGCCATCGAGTACAACAGTGCTAGCCTATATTAAATAGGAACTGTAAAACATTACACAGCTCACCCAGGGTACAAGTCAGGCATGAAGGGGCTAGGGAAGACAGAAGTTATTATAAAAAGATGAGCGAAGGGGGCTTTTAATCTTTCCCACACCACTTCTTTTGAACATTCAACCCTTCCTTTGGTGCTCTTAACCCCCAACACAAAAGACAAGCAATTCCCAGCTAAGTAGCACATGCTGTCTTTGTACAAAGCCACTGCAACGTCCCTACTTTCCATATGAGCAGGGGTGGCTCTGTGTGGTTGGGAAGTGGAAATCACCATACTGTCCACAAGCTGATAGCAACAAGAACAGAGTCCAAAGCAAGACAAAGTCACTAAGTTCTGCAGCCAACAGAATTTTTAAAAAATCCATTGTCTGTGTATCCACAGTCCATTCAGTTAGAAAAGCTAGATTCTGCATTCAGAATAAATAATGAAGTTAGTGGTGACATTAGCTATTATGTGTCCAGAATTTATTATTTGTTTTAAAGGGACATGAAGGAAGATGAGGATATACAGGTGAGAAACAAAAATTGTACAGTTCTAGGCAGTAGGGATGGTGAACAACGCCCATAAGAGAAAAACAGGGACCTCCGTCCTTCCATAATGGACTTCCACATCCCATGTCTCAATTCTAAAAGCCAGACAGCACTAACACATTTCCAGGTTGCCCTTTGAAACCATTTATCAGTTTCTTTAATTTACAGTACATTTCTAAGTAGAGTTATATCCATTGACTCCAATGGTCTTAGCCAGAAGTAATTCTTCTTAGGAATGCACTGTTAGTTAATCACAATAAGCCACCATTTCCCAGATGTCAAATTTTGCACAAGGCACTCAGTATGCCTGTGAATGCACAGAATATATTACGGTTTCACTCAATGGGAGAAGGAGATCCCAGCTGTATTAAGGGGGGGGGGAGAGGCCGGTTTGGTGTAGTGGTTAAACGTGCAGACTAATCTGGGAGAACCAGGTTTGATTCCCCACTCCTCCACTTGCAGCTGCTGGATGACCTTGGGCAAGCCATAGTTCTGTCAGAGCTGTTCTTGAAAGAACAATCCAGTTGGTCAGCTGCGTTGGTCTGAAGCAGTACAACAAATTTAGAGTCCAATGGTTTGCACATGAAAGCTCATACCTTGAATAAACCTTTGTTGGTCTTAAAGTTGCCACTGGACTCTAAATTTCTTGAAAAGAGCAGTTCTTGAAAGCCTCACCTATCTTGCAGGGTGTCTGTTGTGGGGAGGGAAAGGGAAAGGAGTTTGTAAGCAGCTCTGAGACTCCGAGTGAAGGGCGGGGTATAAATCCTATCTCTTCTCTTCTTCTCTTAACCTGGTTTATGAATTTCCTCCATATCCAAGAGGGAGAAGAACTCCCTTCTGCACCTACATTTTAGATCTGCTGGTAAGAATGTGCTTTGTGGTCTTACTCATGTGTGTGCAAAGAATGGACCTTTGCCCCACCCGTCTCTTGTCACTTTCTAGCTGTGGTGCAGATAAACGGGCTTAGGATACAAACCTGATATCGTTATTTACCCAGAATTTTTTTTAATTAGGAAAAGTCTTCAGTTATACATTCTGAGGAAAGAACAACTGCTTCCTTCAAAGCTATTAATATATTCTTGTTTAAACACAGAGTTTAATTGCAGATTCAAATTCTGAGGGTGGGGAATTCCTGTATTATAAAGCACCACAGCCAATGACCAGGAGCTATCCACATACATATCAGAGCACTGTCAAATGTTGCTTTTCCAGCTACCCCCATTCCCACCAGATCACACACAACCCTTCAGCCTCCAGAAAGCTACATTTTGAAGCCCAAAGGTAAGGTAATGCAATGTGATGGCACCTGGTATTTTTGGCTGCTGTGTGACAGAGTGTTGGACTGGATGGGCCACTGGCCTGATACAACATTGGCTTTTCTTATGTTCAAAGGACAGCAGTAGATCTGCAGAAGCACTAATGAATACAGAATCCAAGCCAGCGGTGATGAGTAATAACATAAATAACATAGGAGAGGCTCCTGATTAATATTTATATTTTCATTTAAGAATTTCTAAGCTTTTAAAACTTTTCAAAAGTGGTACACAGCAAAATCAAGCTAAAACAATCATAAATATAAATATAAGCAACACAGTAAGCAGAACAACAACAAAATAATATCAGATGAAAGCCTATTAAACAGCAGAAACATCAATGCTTTCTGAACTTCTTGGTAAATAAAAATGTCTTAACCTGGTACTGAAATGAAAATACAGTTGCCTTGTGAATATATCTGGGGAGAATACTCGATAAATGGGGCACCACAGTGAAAAGGCCCTGTAATGGTTTCATGTTTTGGTGTGTGTGTTTTTTAAAAAAAATTAATTTCGTTGCAGTATTATGAGAAGAGCGATAGAGGGAGACAAGTGTAATGTGATTGGCTGATGACTGAGAGTGTGGGAGGAGGTGATTCTATGAGGTGATTCTGTGTATGAAATTTGGGAAGAAAGCATAGCCTGTGTGACTATGGGAGTTTTTGGAGTCTATTCTGTTTGAATAAGACAAACAGTTTAGTCTGTGTGAATATGAGTTTTGAGTCTATTCTGTGTGAATAAGACAAACAGTTTAGCCTGTGTGGCAATATATATATGAGAGAGAGAGAGAGATTAGACTGAGTGTCAACACCTGTCAGAGTGGAGTTTGGGGAGTTTGAGAGACTGTTTGTGACACCAAGCTTTGCCAGTTATATTTACAAGTTCCTTTCATCAGCAACAGTTCGAAATAACCAGAAACCTATTTCGTTCTTTATTAAATAAATCATTTTTTGTTTAAACTTATCCCAGAAATCAGAATAGTCCTTCCTCAGGGCCACACAGTCCTCTGAAGTGCCCAGACCTTAGGTTATTCTACCAAAAGAGAGAGATTTGGAATTTTTAATTCCTGGTGGCAGCAGAAATCTACCAAGTTTATGTACACAGAGAGTGTTTTAAAGATAAAAACAGTCTCCCCTATAAGCAACCATGTCACAGGCCCCCCTCACCAGTCACTACCCACCTGACCCCTGAAGGTGGGGCCACCCAAAGAAGAGCCTTTGATGAGATCTCAGACCAAGCATGTTTCATGTGGGATAAAGCTCTACTCTTGGGTCAGTTAGAGCTTTAATTATCAACACCCACATCCTGAATTGTGCCCAGAAGCTTATCATCAGACAGTGCAGCTCATAAGCACTGGGAATTATGCTCCCAGTGGTACATTCCAGTTAACTTTACAATTGCTCTAGTCTGAAGCCTCCAAACAGTTTCTAAGAGCAGCCTCACATATAACACATTACAATATCTAGCCCTGGAGAAGCATGATTAACAGGCAAGGCTATCTGCCCAGGATAAACCTGGAGGAGGACGAACCACAGCTGGTATACCTGTCTGAGCAAGGCACTATATCCCAAAGATCCCACCTATACATGAAGTGTAAGAGCTGGCTCTATCTACACTCTTCAAGCAACCAACCTGCTCTTTAAGAGGAAATGCAACACAATTTAAGGACAGTAGAATACCATCTCCCAATGTCATACCTGCCAACAGCACTTCCATCTTATGTGGACTGAGCTTCAGTTTATTAGCTTTCACCGATTACTAATTCTAGGTACCTGCTCAGCACTTCCACTATCATCTATAAATATATATAAAACAATAAAAAATTCACCAAAACACAAACCCATGGGCACATACACTTAAACAGAAGGTAGGTCCATCAAACAGAACAGAAAAGGCTTCATCCACTGGCAGAAGACAGTGATAAAGGGAACACAGGAAGCTCCCTGAGAAGGGAATTCCATCATTTCAATGCCACAATCGAGATAGCTCTTTCTCAGGTTGCCACCCATCTAACTGCTGATGGTTGAGACACCTGAAGCAGGGCTGAAGGTGACTGTAGTGGACAGGTAGGTTCATATGACAGTAGGTGGTCCTGCACTGAGGATAAAATCCCAGATTCTAGATTCCTCCCACAGGCCCCTAAAGAACTGGCATGCAGCAAACAGGAATCAAACATGGCAGTAAAGTGTTGGTTGATGGCCACCAGACTGTTACACTCATGTCTGAGGGCTACGTATTATCATTATCATCTATATATATAATTCTCAACAGTCCACTCTACCTGCGGATACTTATTTCCGCAAACAGAGTTTTTCTACAGACTCAGGGGAGCTCATAGGTCTGCAGAAAAATCCAAAAAGTAGAAAAAAACAACTTTGGGGAGGGCTGAATCCCCCCCCAATACCTTTTGAAATGGCTACCACAGGGATCTACTCCAGGCCCAGCTGCATCGACAGTGAGAGCGAGACTGTCTGATAGCCAGAGAGAGATAATGAGTCAGGGAAGAGAAGAGGAAGCAAAAGCAGAACTGGAACTGGGATTGGGGAGGATTTCTTCTGCAGTATGAATGATCAAATAGCAGAGGGAAGCTTCTCACCCCTACCTCTTTTGCTGCAGGCTCCACTGTCCTCTTAAAACTTTCTGGGGGGGGGGACTTCTAACTGCTTCTTCCCCTCCACCAGCTCGAGAAGGATTGACTGGCTGAGAGTAAGAGAGAG